GCTTTACTATAGAACATTCTATGAAAATAAAATCTCCATGGAGTAGATAGCATGTGATTCATCAGAAAAGTTATGCACCTTTAATGATTTGATCAATTCAATGCTGGGATGGTAATATTCTTTCTAATCTCTGCAATCTTTACTTTTCAGACAAGTCAATCATACCCAGCATTAAAATGTCTGTAGCCTCAGACCTCTTCAATGTAAATCATATCGCCAGTGTCATCAATATTCCCTCTGTGCACTTAGACTGAGAGAGGCTGTTCCACTGAATTGAAGGAAGCATCCTTCATAGCTTGATTGAGCGGTTGCCGTGGTGACTCGGTAAAGTCCGACACAAAACATCAGCAGCAGCACACGAGGATAATCGGATCGCTCTTGACCTCCGCAGTGTGGGATTGTGGAGAAAAGAATATGAATTCATTGGTCACATATCGTTGAATAAGGCCAGTCACACTCAGATATGCAAACAGCAAAGTGTCTGAAAAACACTTGAGTTATTGGGCTAATGCAGGCTGTCTGGACTGGCTGTTAGGGAGGCGGACAATACCCTGACACATTTGTTTAGGTGGCATGTAACAGGGACCAGGGAGTTCGGAAAGAAACTTCACTGTCTCTTGAAAAACACTGTGAATATACGATACACACCCTATAGCTGAAATAGAGATATTTTAATCATTATGTTAATATAAGGGTAATAGCTAAACTTAAAGGTGCATTGTATCACTTTTCTGGTGGAGGGTCTGTTACCTGCTTGTTTCTGTGGATATGTTATTGCACTGCTTAGAAATGAGAAATAACTCTATAAAATTAAAACATTTTATGGAGATATAGCTTGAAAATACCTAGAAAAACAAGTATTCTGGCTGTGAGCCGGGTTTCCTTTTTCTACACATCTGACCTGTAACTTGGTCTGGTTTGGTCTCCTTTTAATACTATACTGGGAAACATCCCAGACAAAGCAATAACCTCCCCATAGAGAAAAGCATTTGATGGACCCTCCAGCAGAAAAGTTACACAATGCACCTTTAAATAACCTTCAGTAACATACATCTGGATAGGTTTCCAATATTTAAAGGTGTACTTTGTAACTAGCCAGGCTGGTGCCACCTAGTAACTCCATTCAATTTAATTTCTCTCCAGAGACTAGGTCAGGAATCGGAATACACTAGATGGTTTGTAAAAAGCCCAGAAGTGCGAGTTCAGGCACCAGCCAATCAGAGAAGAGTCATAAATTCTGTGGTAACAATGATTCCTGAGATCGAGGATTTAAAGCCGGAACAAAGAGAATGTTTGGTGAATTTTATCAAGGGAAAATATGTTATTGCCCTTCTTTCTACGGGATTGGGGAAAAGATTAATATACTAATTAGCCCATTAGCAGTGCATTACATATGTCACGACCAAATAGCAGTGATTGGTTAAATAAAAAAAGTACATACTTCCCGTCAAGTGAATGAATCCTAATGCTGCGAGGTCAGATGGTTTCTACAAAGTGAAACTGGTTGATGAATCTATTCTGTTCTGGATTAAAATCTGACTAAATCTGCTTGTTTTTACTTTGGCTGAAATGTGTTACCGTTTTAAATATATCAATCTCACGTTTAAAAATATCTTGCCTCTAATTTTGTAAACTGACCTCTAAGCATTTTCCAATTTCTTGTCTCTGTTGTGATCAGTTTAAAGCTATACATACAAGCAGAAGAAGTTACATGGTAGTATATCCATATTTGGACTGAAACTGTGGAAATCATTCACAGTTTTTTTTTTGTTTTTTTCAGTGTTATATTTACTTTTTTATTATTAACTTGCGCCTTTTTCCAGGGATGGGCACAACATACGCACTGTCATTTTGTGAGTCTAGGATCTGACCACATTAAAACTATAGAGGGGGCAGTGTTGGTGAAACGTCACAGAAATGCCATGCCGTTCTTTTTCTTTTTGACATGACTGAACTATATACCATCCGGTCAGAGGATCACTGCTTACCAACTGCATTAATAATTATCAGACACCTATCCGTTCTTGAGACTTCAGGAGCTCTTTGTTTATAACAGCATGGTCCGATTGCACGGAGGTGGGAAATCATCTTATTAAACACCATCACGTAGCAACCAGCTGTTTACTGCAAGTGGAAACAAACCAGCTGACCTCATCCAACAAAAGACAGACAAGAGTTTTTTCCAGTGTCACAGCTCCTTCACTCATCTGACACACAGATTATAGAGAGCACGTTTAAATCTGTAATTTATCATTTAAAAAAACTTGTTCAACCAGAAGACAGCTGAGCTCATTGTGTGTGGTGGGTTGACGCAGTGTGTCTCAACATGCGGCACAGGGACAACAGTTTGAAGCAGGGATTTGTTTTTACGGGAGATAATTAAAGACATTTCTTTTCGTTTTGAGCTACAATGATTCTGAAAGACAAGCATGGTCAAATTAACGATCAAAAAGAGGAGCAATTATACAATTAGGCAAATCGGTGTTCTTTGGAAATATCTCTTCAAATAATTTTCAGTTTTTGTTTATCTTAGCAATAGCCCAACAAATAGGGTATTAAAAATGATTAAAATGGCTTAGTAACTATTTAATTAAAGGGTTAGGTTTAGAATTTAGGGTTAAGTTATGGCCAAAAATTATTTATAAATAGCAATTTTTAGCTTTTGTTTTTTTTTATTTAGTTTTCCATACTCTATACAACTGTACAACAACTCACTCTTGCAATAGACAACCCTATGTCATGTCAATCACTATTTCATCTTCGCGCTGTTTTTGCTTACAGCCTCCTTTATAAAGTAGAAGTGTAACAATATCCAAATCTCTCGGTACGATATTATAATTATATGCATCTCATGCTATGATATTTATTGCGATATTTTGAAGAGGCTGATATAAGTGTAATGGAACACTTTTTTGCTTTTAAAATACCTTGACAAGATTTAGGGGTGAATTATTTCCATCATAAGCCCAATAATTCAAGTAAAAAACATATTTTTTTCATATTGTTTGCACTGAAATGAATCGTAGGATATGTAGTTTTCTATGTTTATAAGTTGTAGCTACTATAAAACAATACATTCAAGTAAAGAAACTTGTGATTCGATATATTGTGACAGCCCACGGTATTACTGTTAGACTTTTGACGACACGATATCACAATATTTCGGTTATGGTTAAGGCCAAAATGCTCTATTCCATGTTGTGATGTCATGAATGGATAGTTTTCAGGTTAACAGCTCTTTTTACTATTAGTTCAGTACAGATCAGCAATTCCAAGGCTGAAAGAATCCAAATCATTCTATTGAAGGTGTATGAAGTTAAAAAACTGGAGTAGTTCGATATATTGTGACAGACCACGATATTATTGTGAGACTTTGACCATACGATATCATGATATTTCAGGTATTGTTACATCCCTAGTATACAGCCCAGATATATTTTGTATTTACTATTTTTATATATTTTACTCTTACTTGTAAACATACAATTGTACAATAAATAGGGATGTAACGATATCCAAGTCTCACGATACAATATTGTCACGATATGAACCTTACGATATTTATTGCGATATCGTGGGAAAGATCACAATATTACTATATTATACATAATAACAAGACTGATATTATAAAATGCTTTGACCAGTCATTTGGTAAAATATTTATTGCCACATTCTAGGGATGTAATTATATCAGATGGAACAGATGGAACACTTTTTTGCTATTAAAATACCTATTATTGTGAGACTTTTGACAATACGATATCATGATATTTCGGTTATTGTTACATCCCTAATATATAGC